AAGGCGGGGCATAGAGGAGAAACAATAATGTACAGTATGTGGAAAATAATGTGTTTTTTAAACCTTAAACCGCATAAACACATTGCATTACACCAAATACACAAAATAATGTTCTTTTTAGCAACATCATATGACCCCTTTATGAGATCTAAAATAAGGTCATACAGAATAAGGCATTAATATGTGCTTTATAAGTACTAATAAATAGCTAATATGCTAGTAATATGCGTGCTAATAAGCAATTAATTATTAGTGAGAATTGGTCGCTAAACGAAAATGTTACTGAATATTCAATTAAGGCTCTAGTGCAGCGCTTCTCAAAGTCCAGACTCCGGTCCGGATCCGGACCCGGAGGAAATTCAATCCGGACCCGCCTCCATTTCATATTTCAAGAGCACTAATTATATTTCCTACTTTGATATATGCATGTTAAACTTGTAAATCATTTGTTTAGTTTTTTTAATGTCTTTTTGGAGATGGTCCGAAATGAAAGCGAAGGCGAGATTGAAACTTTTCCTTTATGACATTTGTTGTGACATCCAGTGAGCGTATGACGTTTGACATAATCGGGCGACATTTCACTGCTAATATTAGTAATAATTTTTTTTTTCTTTTTGTTATCACTTAGATTATGGCCATTTGACTTCTAGAAGTGTCCAGTGTTTCCCATACATTGAGTTATTTGTGGCGGCCCGTCACAATATCAAAACTGACCGCCATAAATAGATTTTCCACCGCGGGTGTTTTTATATGAGTGTATCTTTGAAAAGAACCGACCGTCTTCAGAAAAGCTTCAATGTCATTTTTATTTCGTCTTTCCTGTAATGCCTGATAAAGTAGCGTTTGTGAGTGCAGCGATGTATGATTACAGCCGTTACCGGAGAAACCGCTATATCTCCCGCTCCAGCAGCGCCTCCTGCTGGCAGAGAATGAATTTGCATTGGCAAGTCTGTGGGAAACACTGGTGTCTGTCAACAAACATAAACAAAAAGCATGCTTCAGAACTGTTTTGAGAAGGTGCTTAAGTTTTGAGCCATGTATTATTACTCTGAATTAGGCTACTACTACTATTACCATCTTGTGCCCTGCAATAATAATTTACTCAAACTCTCTTTTATGAGATAAAGTGGGGAAAAAAAAGAAAATCAGCCAAACATATCGGCCAAAAAAAAAAAAATCCATCGGCCATCAGCTGCCCTGATTTCTAAATATCTGCATCGGCCAGAGAAAACCCCTTTTCGGTCAATCTCTGTTGCTGACACTTAAATTAATTGTTTTGCCACTTTTGCACTTGTTATTAATGTATTTTGAATGCAAAGGGCACTTTATTTAAAAAAAAAAATTAATGTTTATTTGTTATGCATGTTATGCAGCCTATGTTTATTAAAAACAAGTTTTGTAATAACCAATTGTTCCGGTCCGGACCTTTGACACTGATGAAAATTCAGATTTGGACCTTTGAATGTAGACTTTGAGAACCCCTGCTCTAGTGTTTCTAGTGATTGTACAGCATCAGCAGTTAAAATCACAGGCCATGTGAAATGGTGATGGACTTTCAGTCTGTTCAGTCACAAACACACACTACATTCTGTAACAGCTGGGATCAGATCGGAGACTCCGCAGTGCACTTCACGTCCAATAAAGACAGGAGAAGTGTGTTTGGGTCTCAGCGTAACACACCGGCCATGACCTCCCAAACATTTGATATGGAGAAGTTAGACAGGGATAGTGTGTGTGTGTGTGTGTGTGTGTCTGTCTCTAGGGTGACAGCAGCAGGATGAGAGGCAGGAAGTGAACAGAACTCCAGACATCTGGCACTGCCGTCTCCCCTGACACACACACACGCACACACACACACACACTCTGATCTCTTCCGATCAAAGTCTGCCCTGCTTACTCTTCCACAACACACACATCCAAATTACATCCACACACACTTACATGTGTTCTCCTCACAGACTGAATCAAACCTTTAGTTTAGCCAACAGCTCCTCTGATGAAGGCATCACACTGTGATCTAAAACCAGTCTGAGTGTGTGTGTGTGTGTGTGTTGGCTCTCAGGGCGGTCCAGTCAGCAGTTCTGTTCTTTGCATATTCAAGGTGAGGTAATTTGACTTAAACAGCTTTAAACTGCGAGTCAGAGACATGCTGACAGATCTTTATCCTCCAGCACTGCATGAGTGTAAATACAGTGAGCGACAGACTGAACTGTGTGAAAAGTGCAACTAGAGCTGGACAACAGTTTTAGTGAGCAATATTATTTATAAATATGACATTATTGACACTACTAGCTTTTAACACTTGTGAAAACTACTGAACATAATTCAGCATATATCTCCAAACATTAAGGCCATAAATCTCCAAGTGGGAGGATCCTTGTGAATTAGGGTGGACCTCTATTCTGTCAATGTTGATTTTGGATGAAAGTTTTAAGGTTACAACAGAAAACCTGAAAAGATACATTTATGCTGAATTTTAATAAACTATAATACTCCCTAATTTATAGAACTCAATTGAAGTATGAGAGAAAGGTCCATTTAGAACGAACTGATTTACTAGAATTACTAGAATTACTGATTTACTAGTCTTGTCACTGCACTACATTTTTTATCAATTGAACAAAACCTCACCGATTTCGTGATCCTCAATATCATTGCACAAAAAATGAATAACTCAAATGAATTATTAATATAAATATAATATATTAATATAATATAAACTCATATTTATACAACTTCTATAAGTATATGCAACCTTACCCAGATACATACAGTATACTCATGCATACTTTTTAGCAAATTTCGGCTATATGTAAAGCACCTATAAGGCCTGAAGATACAGTATTGTATTATTAAAATATATTTGACTTGACTTGGCTTGAATAAACAGAACCTTCCAAAACTACATATGACACAGAGAGAGGCATTTTGGATGAAATGATTCACTAGTGGGTATCAGACTTTCCAAAGTTACATATGAGAGACAGAGGACCGCTTAAGACAAACCGAATTACTAGAATGAATCAGACAACATTTTATCAGATTCGTAGCAGATCTCTACAGGTGGAGCTGGGGAGGAGGAGGGTAAAACAAAAGGTTTTATATTGTGCTGCAGAATGATCGTTGACTAGGGAACGGAATAAATGGTTATGTGGATTAGGAAGTACATCTGATTGGCTACTGCGACTCTCAAGAGCCAAGCAGATCCATAACAGGTGTTATGGAACATATTTACATACCAACGGTAGGTCTATAGTTTGGCAGCTTTGACCCCCCCCTCCCCTCCCAGGTTATTATATGATAATAAAGGTGGAGCTGGATTGGAGGATGGATACCGGAAGTTACGAGCACCGTAAGAAGTAAATTGCTGCCAGATATACCAGGTACACACTACCTCCAGAAAACCAATAATTTATACAAAACTATAAATGATAATCACAAAAGGAACCATTAAGAATAACATTCTACCAGAAGGGACATTGAGTGTGTTTTTCTTTGTTAGTGTATGTCATCTCCAGTGTGTGTGTGTGTGTTTCAGACAGACAGGATGAGCGGGGTCACCTGTTCTCAGTCTCACAGAGTTAGCGCGGCTGTCTAACCCAGCCGTGCTCTGTTGATCTGACAGTAATCCAGAACCACTGCAGAGCAGAGTGTGTTACATTATCTGTCTTAATCCGGTAATCCACAGACACATGGCTAATATCAATCCCACCCCCACACACACCATCCTCACTAATCACTTTAATGATGGACCCCCGGCAACTGATCCCTGCAGCACCGCCCCTCCCGCCCCTGATTGACACACCTTCCCTCTCTCTGTGTAACGATGCACATGCGCGCGCACACACACACACACACACACACACACACACACACACACACACACACACTCTTACTCCTCCCAGGCAGCTCTCATTAATGAAATTCACAGCCCAGGGCAAAACACAAAGCAGACATATGTTCAGCAAATATGTGTGTTTTGGTCTCTGTGTCACTGTAACTGTGAGTGTTTAATAGAGTCACTGGCGTGTGTGAGTCTTTGATGTGATCCGTTGTCTGGCCCGAAACTGAAAGCTCAGTCAAACCATAAGCTGATATGACAGGACATGAGAATCAGAGAGAGAGAAAAAAGCAGGTACTTCTGGTATTAAAGGAATAGTTTAGCCAGAAAATGAAGATTTTGTCATCATTTACTCACCCTTACGTGCTTCCAAACCTGAATGACTTTCTTTTTTTTTTCGTGAAACGCGAAAGAAGATGTTCAGCAAAATGTTTCTGCTGCTCATTCATGTCAAACTTCAAAACGTACCATAAAGTAGTTCATATGACTTGTGCCACATAATATAGCTCTGTGTGAGGAAGTGAAATTTAGGTCGTTATTCACTAAAAATCTTTTCTGCAGCTTTCAAATCTCCTACACCCCTTTTGAAAAATAAGTGCACCTAATTGTATTAAATTGCAGTGTATTTCTTAAAAGTATATTTAAAAAAAAAACAATACTGGAAAATAATATTTATGAAATAAAAAGCTAATTAATTGTACTTAAAAAGAGTACACTTTCATGACGGTTTCTTACACTTAAGTACACTGTTAAAAGAGCATTTTGTAATGTCTAATTAAAAGTTTTACTTTAAAGTACATTTTAAAACATTTTGTCATGCTTTAAAGAAGTGATGTTTTAACATACTAAAGCACATGCAAAGAACTTGATTATAATTTTGCCTGTAGTATATTATTCAATATTCTATTTAAAATTAACATATTTTAAATGTACTAAACTACACCTTTATCATTACAAATGTGTTATGGCAAATATATTTAAATACATCATAATAGAAATGAAATTAAAGTATATTTTAGTTTATCATAAATGCTTCAGCAGTACACTTTAACCATATTTCAAATACAACAGAAGTAATAATGAAATTGCATATAAATATTAACTTAAGTCCTACTTAAGCAGGTGAAAAAAAACACTCTAAAATTCAGCTAATTGCATTTAATATCAGTTTAAACTACAATACATTTTCATTTAATTCATTCAGTTCACTCTTAGCATAGTATATTCTTTTAAAGTATGTTATTTCCATGATAAATACTGTTTCTAAAACTATGCAAGAGAGTACGTCTTTTTCACAAGGGATTCTTCTGTGTATTCAAACTTGGCATAAAGGATTTGATTTCTCATGTGTCACGTCAACCGATCCAATCTTTAAGGTGTTGAAGTACTTTTATGGTATTTTTGACATTTTTGGAGTTTGACCACTGGTCACACTTTCGTTTTATGGGGGGGAAAAAAGCAGTTTAGAGGTTCTTCAAAAGTCAATTTGGAACAACAACAGGGAGAGTAAATGTTGGGTCATTTGTGTCAATGTTTTTTGTTAATTATTCATGTCCGCGTGTGTGCATTCGGGACTATGGGAATGTTATAGCAGCAGACACACACACGTGTAAATGTGTGAGTTGACTCACCCTGCTCCTGCAGCCCGTCTCTCTCTCTGCTGTCACTCTGTTTGTCTGTCTTCAGCACAAACAGGTCACCGGAGCTGTCCTCTCTGCTGCCCGTGTCTGCGCTGACAGAGACAACCTGAAAAGAAATGCACACACACACATACACACCCACGTCAACAGAAAACACATCAGGAAACAAAGCGAACAAATATAAACAAGCGGATCATAATTAATAAAACAGCAGTGGGTCTTTTGTGTGAAATAATTAAAGTGATTTAATAAGAGCAGGCTGTTTTGGAGCATCCATTAACACACGGTGTTTGTCAACAGTAAGTGCTAATGCACTGGTACCAGAGCTCTCCCTCTCTTTCTCTCGTCACGCTCGCTTCATTGTAATGCAGGAAATAACGCAGGCCGTCCTCGCAGACTTCCGCACACATTTAATTTTATCTTTGAATAAAAGAGCTATAGGAAAGAATGAATCTGCTTAACATTTCTAAGTACACCCTCCAAAGGAGCGGGCTGTTTTAATCTTACATATGCTCAGCAGAGTTACTGGCAAAAACTGTACGTTTTCTTCATCTCATCCTTTCAACATCAAATGGCGAGCAGCAAAAATTGGATCAGACTTCAAAGCTCAGCGATGTGCTCCAAGTCACAGAGTGGCTCTACTATTTCACATATTGAATTCGAGTAGGATATCAAAGTCCTAGCAAAGAACCTCAGGTCTTTACTGGAAAAAAGGGGCTCCAACATCTGTAGAGAGAGCAGCGAAAAGACAAATCACCTCAGGGAGAAGTCAGCGTTTACTCTCTACCACGCTTTTCCAGCCTTTTGATTCACTCCTTCTCTCTCTACCTCTATGGGTTCCTCGCTCGCTCGCTCGCTCTCTCTCTCAGCGGAGAAGTGAATTCTCTACGAGGGAACTGTCTCTTTTGTCTCAAGGACTGTGCTGTTTGATCTGAGGGTTGCTCTGTGTAATATTCAGTGCAGTCGGGTGACAGTAGAGTTCATATTAACTCGAGCCGTATCAGACGTGCAATTAAAGGACTAGTTTGTTCAAAAATGAAAATTCTGTCCATGTTTACTCAGCTCTTTGTTGTTTCAAACCTGCATATTCGGAGGATGCTCCTGCTGCAATATTCCATACCATAAAAGCATACAGTGACCAAGGGCAAAAGGACAGGAAGCACCATAAAAGTTCAAGTTCAAGTTCATTTTATTTGTATAGCACATTTACAGCAGCCGCTAGGCTGACCAAAGTGCTTTACAGAAGAGAAATATATAAAAACATACACAGAAAACAAGCCAAATAAAAATATGAACAACCCATTAAAAAAAATTACCCAGCTTCACTAAAAACTTTCTGTCTGACATGTATGACTGAAACCAATTAAGAACGGTAGCTTTAGACCCACCCAGGACTCTAGTCTGGATAATAGTGTGGAGTGGTCAACTGTATCAAAAGCGGCCGATAAATCTAAAAGAATAAGAACCACAGAGTCTCCAGAATCAGTGGAGAGATAAATATCGTTTAACACTCTCAAGAGGGCAGACTCAGTGCTGTGAGCAGACTTAAAACCAGATTGAAAAACCTCATAAATAGAATTACTAGTCAAAAAATGTTGAAGTTGATGCAGCACAATTTTCTCCAATACCTTAGAAATGAAAGGTAAGACAGAAATTGGCCTAAAATTTTTTAGAACAGAAGAGTCAAGTGAAGGCTTCTTGAGTAGGGGAGTTACTGTAGCCACTTTAAGACTGGCAGGGACAGCGCCAGTTTGGAGACACTTATTGATAAGAGACACCAAACCAAGTCCAATTGAATCAATCATTAATTTGAAGAATCTCGGGTGAATAATATCGTTAGAACAAAATGAGGGTTTGAGCTTGTCAATCACCTCCTTCAATGACTGGAAATTGATAGGTTTGAAAGCATCCCAAAAGGCAGAGGCAAATGTTATTCCATTACATAAAAGCAGGTAAAACCTTTACAGCAGCCTGGAAAAGAGCAGCACGGCAGTTCTATTTTGTGTTTAAAATTATACATATATGTAATGATAATATCTGACCTTTTCAACTGGGAGGTGATTGGTGGAAAATCTTCTTTCAGGTGTGGGTTGTCTGAGAAGAAAAGTAATCATTAAACAGTCAGAATTCCTCACAAACTGCAAGTTTAGGATTTCCGTAATTCCGAGAAAACGAGTTGGTTTAATACAAGATGATGATATCAGATGACTGCATTACTGCAACACTTACATTGCGAGTATTCTGGTTTACATCGCTCTCTCCTTCAAACCATTGTAAACATCTGCTCTAAAATCAATGTGTGGCACTGAGACGGCCTATGAAGTCTAGTTTCATTACATGAACAGCAGACCTGAAGAAAGGCCCAGAATATTATGAGGAACAGCTCATGTTCTCCACCACCAGGTCCAGCTGCTTCCTTTCATTATACTCTATAGGTCCTTGTATATTTATTCTGGTCCCAGTTTTTATTCCATTACATTATTCTTTATTTCACATGCTGTATATTTTCATTATATATTGTGTTGTTCATAATAACGCTAGCAGTTTCTGAGAAAAAAAGAGACTTATAACTTATAAGAGACTTATAAGAGTCTCCTGAGCTGTGCAAAAGCAACTCAAAATGTTCTTCTGCATACATGTGACCACCACAATATCAATGACATCTTCCTCATCAAGTCAACCGTGACATAACTATTTAGTGCAGTAACTCTTGACGCACAAGGATGGAACATTTAATGCACACACACACACACACACACTGACGTCATCTGGTACTCGAACCCTGTGATAGCGCTCACACACCTGCTCCTGTCAGCTAATGAGCATGTAGGTAAGTTTATGAACTTTACAAGGGAAAATTGGGCCAGTTGATGTCAAAATAAATCTATAAGGCTTCTCTCCAGCCCTGATGAAACAGAATAGCAAAGTGTGAGGTTTGAAGTTTCACCACTGAGACTTCTGATATAAACAAGCATTGAGGATCCCCTCTGATAAGCCGACTGGCTGGAGGATATACCCCCAAACCCCCCAAAAACACTCAGATGTGGGAGGGCGGAAGAAAACTTTAGATTTTCAAAATCTATTAAAACGAGTTATCACGATATGCTTATCAACAATCTTTCTGCTGCATGGGTATAAAAAAATAATATGAAAATAAATCTGTGCACTAAACATAAAGCATAACTCTGAGAGCTAATTTTAACTGTGATCAAGACATAAGGATTCACATTCTTAAAAAATGGGCAAAAGGAGATTTAAAATTATGTTTCAAAAAGAGTCTAGTGCACCTGCTTTGACACCTTGAGTTGTTGAGGGCAGTGCATGGTTAAATGCAGTTTGTGTCATTTCTGAACAAAACAAAAAGCAAAGCAAAACAACACAACACAAAACAAAACAACAACAACAAAACAAAAAACAAAGCAAACCAACACAACACAAAACAAAACAACAAAACAAAAAACAAAGCAAAACAAAATTAAACAAAACAAAGCAAAATGAAACAAAACATAGCAAAAAAAGAAACAAAACAAATACATGTTATTGTACATAATTACATTTTTTAATATTAAATACATCATTCTTTTTTTGTCAAATCAAAACCAAAATTAAAATAAAAATGTTCTTGCATTTTTTTTTTAAATAAAGAGCTGATTATTGGTAGTTATCTGCATTTTGTTTCACATTAACTTGCATTTCAACAACACTGATCATCAGCGTCTTCTAAACACTGCAACATTTCTGTCAGAACCCAGATCTGCAGTGAGGTTAAAGACGATCATCTACTAGTATTTATTCACAGAGTGCATGTGTGTGCGAGTGGATTGTCACTCAGGAGCTATGATTTAAGGAAGGTGAATAAAATGCTTGCACACACTCTACCACAACATCACTGGGACGTGCTGTAGGAGACCTACTGTATAGAACAAACAGATACCTAAACACGCAATCATGCAAAAATACACCATGATAACATACAAAGGAAACAAACACAATGAACACACCATCACTCACCCAGTCCATTGTTGACACTGTTTGTAGTCTTTCCTGACTTTGTAGCCTCTGTATGCTGTAACAAACATTCACACAAACAATGAATAAAATAACATGAATCATATCATCAACAAGGAGAGAATCATAAATCTGATTGCTCAGAAATGTAATAGCACACCTATTGAGGGATCTGTAGGAAAAAAGGTGCAAGCAATTCTAGCAAAGATTAATACAGAGGGTGGGTTTGTCCAAATCACTAACACTAAGTTTAAGCAATGAAAACCCCGTTAATAAGAAATGCCACAGATTAGTATGACTAATAGCATATTTTGCTTTTTGGTTATATCGAATGTAATGTAAAAGTGTCCTACTTGTATACATAGATTCGGGTAAATTGTTTCCTTTGATCAGACACACTAAGTGAATGTTTAGGATAAAAATACACAATGAGCTCTGAGTGAGCAATTAGTACTTTATCACTCATACAAATGAGTGTAAACCTCAGAACACATGAAAGCAGCAGCGCTGCTCTAAAATGCTAAAGCAGTCATTTATTTCACTTTCAACGAGACGTCCAATTAAAACTCACAAAACTTCAGGCTTTAATCAGAGCAGAGCAGATCAGGGTGTGAACACAGGCCTGTAAACTCAAACACACAAACCACTGGAAACAGAGTGAGAGTGTATATAGTTTGTCGTGTTTTGGAGTGTGTCCAGATGTATACTCAGCCAGGGGTGTGTTTTCTGTACACAACGTAACTTGCTGCTTAACCACCATAGTACTGTGCATCACTGTAGAAACTAACTAGCCAGTCATGACTGTTTCCCAAAAGCATAGTAACATGGATGCACTTCTGTCATTTGAACCACATTGATTCAACAATACAAGACTGTCATTAATGACGTCACATGCGGGTGGTGGAATAATAATTTGAGATCACAATTAATGTTATATATTTACAGCTAATTTACACAGCAGAAAGCCGTTGATATTTTAAGCAAGTTAACATGCAGTATGTAATTGGTGTACACTTTATTCCCGTGTACATGTCATTAGCAGCTTTCTCCACAACATCATTTCTCTGAGATGCTGCTCTATTGAACATGCCAGCTGAGGAGCACTTCACTACTTGTGTTCACTACTCGTCGTTTTTGATTATTTGATGTTTGATTGATGCTTTCCTTATGTCAGACTCCAAGACTCCTTTACACATTTACACATCAGCACATTCTTCAAAAACACTGCTGATTGTTCACACACACATATTTAAATGGGATGAAAGATACAGAATGTGCTGCATGTTGGCTTGCTTACTGCGCCCTAGAGCATGCAAACTATGCTCCCAACCACACAACTTCATGATGCTGTTTGTGAATGTTTGTTGGATTTATGGTTTTGGGAATTGTTAAACTGTGTTGGTAAAGACAGAACTTGCATACACAGTAAGCAACAGTACTTTTGGGAAACACACCCCAGTTATATTTAATGCATAAAAGCCTTGTGTGAACATGAATAATTTTAACAACAGTTATACTGCATTATAATACTTACCTATTTATGGTCATAGCTTTTAAGAATATGGTGGTTTATAACAACATGTCACTTAAGTTATAATGGATTTTAATTCCCACAGTTATAATTCTCATATCTTGACATTTTTTTAAGACCTGCACAGTATCTTACTACATTTTATTAGTGTTCTTTTAGTGTAAAGTGGCAAATACAAAGTCTTATTGTAAAGGTCCAAAAGGCTTTATAATGTGGTAATTATATTTACAAGTACTTTGTAATATTTACGTGTTTTTTAAACAGCCGTAAGATATAATGAATGTGTTATTTGACACATTTGCTTTGAACATGTTTAGTGTAATATCAATAAACCATATTGGGTCCCACTTTATATTCGGCGGCTTTAAATACTATTTACTTAATAATAAAAGAATGAATTGTTAGGTACAATGCACCTGTTGTGTTTATGTTGATTTGCTAAACACTTTTGCTGCTATTGAGGTGGGATACGGTTAGGGACAAGTTTGGTGGTCTGGTTAGGTTTAAGGGATAGAGGTAGGGTCAACAGTGTAATTATAGATGCAACTACAGAAATTAATTACAGATGTAATTGCAGGACAGTATTTTCAAATATAAGTACAATGTAAAAACATGTATGTACATAATAAATGCATTGTATTGAATGATTAATTTAAATGTAAGTACATTGTAGTTAAGGACACTTAATATAAAGTGGATCCCTATATTGCATTTTCTCAGATTTAAACGGGTTACCAGTGAACTTAAATTAGCTCACATTGAAATTAATATTAGCTTCACTGGAAACACTATTACGCATCTCCTGAATGAGTCTAGAATGTGCAGATCAAAAACACAACGAGGAAGACGCAGAAACGAGCGATCTCGTATGTATGCATATGCATATGAAAAACAATGCGATCATCAACAACAAACAGCATATAAAGGAAAACTGTCTAATGTTAACGAGTGAAATGGCGATCCTGGAAGTGCCAAAGGACTGTGAAGCTTTGGGGGTGTTGATGGAAGCGATCTACTACATATTTTCTTTGATCATCCTACTGAATATGATCCAGATGTAGTATTTGATAAAAACGTGATTTTCTCAGCTTTTTGTTTAATAAAACTTACCTACATTAAATTGTCGATAAAAAAAAAGAATGCTTGAAGCTAGAATAAAACTGATTTTCTTTTTTGTTTAAAGGGGTCATATGATGCTATTTTAAAGATCATTATTTTGGGTATTTGGTGTAACAGAATATGTTGACATGCTTTAATGTTCAAAAAACACATTATTTTTCAAATACTGTACAGATGTATTGCATGTTCAGATATTCATAAAACAAAATATTCTGGGGGCTATGAAATTTTAGCGAAAATCATAAAAAATTATGGCGGTGGCTGGCAACTTTTTTTCAAAAACGCTGGCGGGGAAAGAGTCAATATAGTCGTTTACTAAAATACAGTTTGAGTTGCAGAAGATGAACCTCAGGACAGAATGTTTACCAAAATTTCCTAAAGATATCCTATGGATATAGAAAACATTTCCCCCCTAAAGCAGCTGTTAAATTTGCATACTGTGCTTGGCTCACTGTGCTCGGCATATTCTCAGTGTATGGAGCTCAAATGTTTGAAAGACGGGTGTTTATTTTAGAAATGCTAATGTGGCCCACCTCAAAGTGGATACTCACACCTCTACACAGCTTTGAACATGTGGCCGAACACCGCGCCACCTGCACCAGCGGACACACTGCGAGCACAGAGCGAAAGAGAGACGTCTGTCAAAAAGGGGAACTGAAGTACTCCAGAAGAGGAGAGGAGAACAATAGCATCACTCCTCCCTCTCCTTCCTCCCCCTGGACCCCTGCCTCCGCCCCTCTCTCCTCATGCCCTCAGAAGACGAGCGTGGCGATGGAAATGCGCCCTGAGAAGGTTAATATGCCCGCTTTGATCTCTGTCAGGCCACACCGAGTAAGAATTCATTTACATTTCTGATGAAAAGGGTGACAGTATAAAAAGCCATCTTGTTTCTGGTATGTGAGAGTCTGTAATGGGCCGGGAATGTGAGAGAGGAAGTGGCAGGGAACCCCCAGCACCCCCCCATCCCTCTCATCCCTCTCTCTATTGCTCTCTCTCTCCCTCTTCACTCCTCTGCCGCCTGCTCTGGGAAACAGATGAAAGCAAAGAGAGAAGCTCAAGAAACATGGGGACCAAATGCTGTGACCCAAACTTGCAAAAGAGACGCTGGCTTCACACATGATTAATTTAGCAGCACTGTTTCATGGGATTGTTTGTTGAGATCAAAAAAGGCACTTTGTGAAAATGCAGAAGTTCATGATTGGAAGAAAAAAAAATGCAAGAGATTTGAAAAGAAAGAAAGAAAAAGAAAGAAAGAGAAAGAAAGAAAGAGCTGTCTTAGCTCTTGGCTCATACATTTTCACTACTGCTACTACTTAATTTTCTGAATACTCCAGTCATCTTGATAATTACACTACCATTCAAAACTTTTGGGTTAGGGTTAGGTTTTTTATTTATTTTATTTTTTTTATGTTTTTGAAAGAATATCCTATTCTCACCAAGGCTGTATTAAAACTACAATAAAAACAGTAATATAGTGAAATATTATTACAGTTCAAAATTACCAATTCCTATTTGCATATATTTTAAAATGTAATTTATTCTTGTGATGGCAAAGCTGGATTTCCAGCATCATTAATCCAAACTTCACAAAAAAACATTTCCTATTATTATCAATGTTGAAAACAGTTGTGCTGTTTAATATTTTTGTGGAAACCGTGATACATGTTTCTTCATGAATAGAAAGTTCAAAAGAACAGCATTTATTTGAATCAAATATTTTGTCCCATTTTAAATGTTCACTGTCACTCGATCAATTTAATGCACTCTTACTAAATAAACATATTATTTTATTTTAAAAAATCTAACAGACCCAAACTTTTGTTATATTTTGTATAGCATTACATATAAATAATATGAATATTAGAATATTCAGTGTATTTTGAGTAAAAAAACAATCATTTATTTTATATTGTGTTGTTCTAATTTGATTTTCATAATTTCTATTTTACTTTACTTTGCACTTTTTCCATGAACTGGATGGTGACATCACTGACTCATCAATGAACTGACTTGAACTGAAAAATGACTCTTTGTTATTGTCCTCTTGCATTATTGACAAACTATTTTCCTGTTTGACACTGTAAAGCTGCATTGACACAATCTGTATTGTATAAAGCGCTATATAAATAAAGGGGACTTGACTTCACAGCTCAGATGCTTTACAAATGAGTGTTGTTTGTCATGCCAATAAATCACACTACACTGAAATTCAGAGAAAAATAAAGAAAATGAAAGTAAAGAGTAGAATTTCTTCAGTGAATATTTCCACAATATAGCGACATTAGTGTTATTTGAGTTGCACAGAATGCTCAGAGATACATACTTGACTGGATCCGTACAGCAGCCTGCTCACGCTCTCTCTTTATCTGCTTCAGATTCTGACGGGCCACATAACCCCTCCAGGCTACACCGAGACACAAAGAAAGACATGAGGGGATTAAAACATGGAATACTAGTTTATAGTGGCAAACATTTTCTAGTATTCATCACAGCAGTGTAATACAAAACGGAGATCAACAATACATTTTTTTTTTCTCAAAAAGTTCAACCACTAGTTCAGATTTTTACTTACAATATTCTCAATGGATAAACCGTCACAAATATGATACATTGTTAATTTTTGGGGTCAGTAAAATTCTAATTTAAAAGAAATTAATAATTTTATTCAGCATTAAACTGATCAAAAGTGACAGTAAATATATTTTTAAAAGATTTCCATTACAAATAAATGCTGTTCTTTAAACTTTCTATTCATTAAAGAATCCTGAAAAAAATGCATCACTGTCTCCACAAAAATATGAAGCAGCACAAATGATTTCAACATTAGAATTGTTTCTTGAGCAGCAAATCAGCATATTAGAATGATTTCTGAAGGATCATGTGACACTGAAGACTGGAGTAATGATGCTGAAAATTCAGCTTTGATCACAGGAATAAATTATATTTTAAAACATATTACAATAGAAAACAGTTATTTTAAATTCAAATAATATTTTACAATTTTACATAAGAGCTCTTTCAAAAACATAAAAAGCTTTACCAACCCCAAACTTATAAACAATAGTGTATGCAAAGCTAGTTATTAATCTTGCTGTAAAATGCCATACAGTGCAGCCCATTTTTCTTTAGAATTTTCCATCCATTCTAACCATGTTTAGTCCTTGAAATTTCAACAAATTTCCTCCTTCATATTAGACAGCTATATAAAATTAATTTTAGTTGCCGAAATAAATCATCACACATGATTAACAAACGTAAAATGCAGTGACCCTCACAAACTAGCCTCAGACCATCCATATATCCTTACTGTTGAGCCCTGTACATGCATCTGTTCTCAGAGTCATTTGGTAATGCGTTTGGGTTACAAGAACCTGACTGTATAATAATCGCCCCGTTGTTGCGTTTCTCTCTCTCTCTCCGATATCGCCGAGCTCCCAGCCAGCCTTTGGTGTAGGCCTGCATCAACACCACCCGTGCGATCACCTCCCGCAACATCAGATTGAGCTGCTCCACGTGATAGTACTTCAGAAACACCTGCAAAGACACATACAGTCACAGATGCAGGGAAGCATGCTCAGACCTTACAATAAAAACACCACCTTCATGTGTCTGTCGGGGACACAAAATAATCAAGGGGTTCAGGTTGAAAAAGGACTCTTTGAACATTTTCTTTTTTTTTTTTACAGAGTTGCAGATGCCAGCCATCTGGTCAATTAGATCCACAGATAACTACCTTAACTTCTCAGACAGACAGAAGTGAGAGTGAGCGATTGTGAAAGAATGTGAGGAAAGAAACCATGACTTATAAATACTTTTTCTGGAAGCATTGGTTTGACAGAAATGCACTAATAGACAAAGCTAAAATTGTTCTCTGTGCTATGAAAGGCAAATTAATAATAAATTATGTATATCTATAGCAGACATCCCAATTAACCATCTCCGAGACACAAAGTCACATGTGTAGAGCTTGTTTAGTTAGTTTGGTCAATGTCTAGAGCTCTTCCTGACTGATCCACAGCTCTATGCATTTTCTATCAGACATTTTAATGGCTGTTAGGAGCACAATAATGAAAGCCTATGATATAATTAGAATGTCAGTCAGAGTAATATGAATCTAATATTGAGCATGACACAACACATCACATAACCAGCTCCATATAAATGTATTATCTGATGTAGTAAACTTGCTCAACAGCTCACCTGGTGCAGAACTGCACTTGAGATGCAGGGTGGCTTGTAGAAACAAGCTGGGTTTAGTTTAGCGTAGGTGGCTATTTTCAAACATGACAGAGCATCAACCTTTTAGAACCACTCACCGGACAGCGGACTCTTCATTTCCACGGTATGTACAACAAACAAAATCAAATGTTGAAAGATTTATGTTCATCAGTTTTGGATAAAACTTGCACCACAGACTGGGCATTTCACTTTGAAAGTGTCACAAAATTTTGCGGATATGCCGCCACATGTACATTATTTCCCAATAAGCCTGGGTTGCTGATTGCTGCCAAAAGTGCTTTAATGAAGTAGTGATAATTCAGTTTTTTTCTTTAGCAATGTTAACACAAATCTGGTTTTGGCTTTGTCATTAAACAAAATGAAGGGGTCTGAATACTTTTTGAAGGCACTGTATATTTGGTTTCGACAGCCCACCATGAAATCCCTATGGCCCTATGGCCAGTCCATCCCTGCTGCTACTAAAACAAATGTTGCTATTTATTGTTTGTTTTATATATGCTTGTGTGATTTATTAACATGTATGACCTCTCTGAACCCTTTTCTTAGTTTTTCAGTATGTTCACTGTTCCTAGAACAGGCTCGTTCCTGTATTTAATAAATGTGTTGGCAATATTGTACGAAAAAACAGGGATTTTCCTGTAAAAAAAAAAAAAAAATATATATATATATATACTGGGGCTGTACCTGTTACATGTATGATCTGTGTTCCCTCCTTTGTTGTGTTTTGGTTTTGGCCTGTGACCTAGTTTTCCTGAGTTGTCTTATTTGTTGTTAATTAACTAATTAGTTCCTTGTTTGCTTTGTGTACTTAAGCCTTCTGTTCTCCCTCAGTATTTGTTGGTTCTCGTTAGCAATTGTGTTTGGTAGCATTTGTTCCTGTTCTCCAGTTAGTTTGATATTAAACAGGTGTTCCTGAACTATTCTTCTTTGTCGTACAAGTTATTATACTACCATACTGTAACAGAAGAACTGACAACAAACAGTAATATTATTAGCAGCGTTTTTCCCTCTTTTGTTTCTTTTTAATCTCTTTTTTTTCCCCATGGACCTTCCCGCAGTCCAGCTTCTCCGCTTGGAGACCGTCCACTGGAAGACCACACACGGGACTTCATCCATCTGGCTTTCCTTATGCACTACCCTGATCGCTCGCTATGTGTTTTTTACCATACCAGCCTGACCGAGCGATTGAATGCGCGCCTTCCAGCGGATGGTCCAAGGAGGATTTCGCTGCTTTCATGGAGTGGGTGCTGGTGAACAACAGCTCGCCTTTCACCATCGGCCCCGTGGATAATGACTTCGCCACCAGCCCCACTCCATCACTGTCAGAGACCAGCCATCCACCACCGCTGAACGACACGATGGTGTTGTTGCATGTGCCCACTGCAGACCGTGGAAAATGGCCTTCTGCGATTGATGAGCCTGAACCAAGGAATAGGTTGGAGAGAGTCATCGCCCCGGAGCCTGCTTCATATCATGCGTCTGACCAGGTGTGAGAGCCGGCAACACCGCAGATAACCGAGGGAGTGTTAGTGGAGATCGACGGCTTCTTAGTCGTGTGAGTTATTGTATTACCATACCGTAACAGTACCATTGTACAGTGGTAATAACAGATGGTACAATTATGGTACTGAATAGTCACTACATTCATGTACCGAGGCATTTATATGATTCTTCAAAGTAAACTAAGCTATTCTACCATGGTATATGCCCAAAAAGCCTTGGTATTTTAATGCAGTACAGGCTGAAATTTCCTGGTAGTATCATAGTACTCTTTGTTGCAATACAGCATACTAAATCGAAGAACACTGATGGAGAGAGAGAGAGAGAGAGAGAGAGAGAGAGAGAGACAGAGAAAAGAGTACTTTGAAAGAATGATGATAACTTTACCTTGGTCTTGCCCAGGACCCAGTTGTCCAGTTTGGCTCTCTGCAGTATAATAATGGCGTTCTCTCTGCTGCCCTCTGGCATCTGATGGGCACGAAAGGCCAGATAGTAATACCTGCAAGAAAATCAAAATTACCAGACTCTCATTACACCAGTCAAAATGATAAATGTACAGTGCTGAGGCTTCTTCTCAAGCTCAAACATCCATTTAACTTGACTGATCATATTGTGTAAAAAAAAAAATTGTTTGGAGAAAATGTATGTTTGTGTTAACCACAGACCATATTTCATGCATTTAACCATTTAAACCCATTCAAAAAATGGAACCAGAAGTGTTAAAATGCTGACTAATTTCTGTGTTTTGGCCGACAAAAATATGGAATCCCTGCAGCACTCTCTCTATAACTTATATATATATATATGTGTGTCAATATACAGTATATAGCAATATTTTAATGGCAATTTACAATATGACACAATTCACAAAAAAAATCATTATTTTTGTAATTCCGTTTGGTGCCACCAGTGAAGCAAAAATTACACACTTCACTGTTTTGCACAGAACAAGATAAAAGTCTATGGCAAGACTATCTCTCTATATTGCTCTAGATATTCCAATGATAACATCTTTCTGCTACAAAAACCTTTGACGGTCAAGACAGAAAGGTAAAGCGTCACCTGATTCTCTGATCAATCACTAGATATGGGGCCATTGTTGCCTTGTTGTTATTGTCTGGGGGCCATCAGTTTTACTTCTGCATATACCTGCCTATAAATAAACTGGTCTGAATCTCACAAATGAGTCTCATAGAAACATCTGAAGCGGTTCTTGCGGTTGATCTCGAGCATTTACTCTGAAGAGGAATATATCAGCCTTTGTGTTTAAGAAAGAATACTGCCTTTGATTCCACTTGAACTGTGATCTTTCATAATTATGCTCCTGATAGCTGTTATGTCTCTGGTATAAAATACAAAGAGCTCTCCTTTACAACACCAGAGAAGGTTTCCAAAAAGATCTGTTTGAATCCACTTCTTCATACTGAAACTGGTTTTACGGAGCTGGCGTGTCAGTGTGGATCAGACAGGAAGAGCTATAAAAGTTGTCCGACTAAGGAAACGCAAACAGAACGGTCACGTAATTTTATGCAAACTGGTCGGGGAAGTCTGGGGAAAATACGGATAATCAGGACACTTCTGTGATCAAAAGAATGACGGGAAAAAAAAGCCGGCGAGAGTCTTGCGTTTGAGCGGCCCCTCTGAGCACAGAGAAATTGTCTGGGATGTTTATGTAAAAGAGATGACCTACATGTCCACCATCTGACGGCCCACGAGAGAAAGAGATGGATGGGTTGAAAGAAAACGCAAGAAAGAGAAAAGTTTATGGGAAATTAAGTGCGATTCCCAAAGCCTCAGACAAGTAAATTTGGACCATGAATTTCCACGGCGCTGAGAAACTTTCAGCGGATTCACTCCACCTCTTCAAAGTACCACTTCAGCACTAATTACTCAACTAGAGTCTAATTTAGCATCACTTGTATTCTCAGAGGCTTAATGACCTATTATTGATGAGATTATGGTCTTCGTTCAGAACTGCCAAAATATATAGATAATAAACCTGCAACGTGAGTTTCCCAGGAGCTTTAGGGAGCACTAGAGGAGGTGGGTCTATTCAATATGGGCTCATGGAGCGCTCTCTAAGCTTTGATCTCTCTAACTGTCTGTCTGTCTGTCTTTTTTTCCTTCTTTTCATGACGCCCAAGAGCTTCAGTTAATTAAATCTAATAAAATTCCTGTAGTCCAACAGGAACGCCCAGAATAATATCATTTTGACTGCATAACTGATGAAGTCTGGATGTGTGTGTGTGTGTGTGTGTGTGTTTTTTCTTTTTTTGCAGGATAGCATAATCATTATGACCACCTTTATTAACACAACCTCTGTAAAATGGAGCAGGAATTCCAGTCAATAAAGAAGCTAAAACTACATTTATATGTTCTGATAATAATGCTGCCATAAGGCTGCTTGGTTTCTTATAGACAGAATCCCAAATCTTTAATATTATGATCTAGACATAGCTTAAGTCTCTCCTTCAATGTAAGTTCATAAGCCTAATCAATTAACAGCAAATATACCATATTTCAGGGTTTAAGGGTTACAGTAGTTCACCCAAAAATGACAATTCTGTCATAATTTACTCACCCTCACGTTGTTCCATTAGACTTATGGGAAACACAAAGGAAGATATTTTTAATATTCTCTCATCACTGTTGTCTATCCTTTGAATCAACCAAAAATTTCAAGCTTCAAAAAGTTCATAAAGATGTCATAAAAATACTCCAAATGAATCGAGCAGTTTAATCCAAGTCTTCACTTTATATGATGAACAGTTTTAAGCTATTAAAGTTATTTAAGCTCTTATTCACATGCAAACATTGATCAATGCACATGCATAGAGCTAATCAAATATGGTAAACCATGCTTGCTTGACATAACAGAACCAAAATTGTAGAATATTAAAATTATCTTCACCAAAGATGAACAAAAGCCTTCTTGGTTTGAAAGAACATTTTTGGGTGAACTAACCCTTTAAATGTTTATTTTGATTCCTAACCCTAAATATGAACAATAGCAATCAACAAGTGGTAACACTTTAGTTTAGGGACCAGTTCTTACTATTAACTAGTTGGTTTCTAACATGCATATTACTAGGATATTGGCTGTTTATTAGTACTTATAAAGCACATATTAATGCCTTATTCTGCAAGACCATATTTTAATCCTAACCATATCGAAACTTAACAACTACCTTCCTAACTATTAATAAGCAGCAAAAGTCATAGTTAATAATTAGTTAATAGTGAGAATTGTACCCCAATAAAGTGTGACCAATTAAATGAACTTAATGAACCACAAAATGACAACATTTCCCATTTTAACTAGACGTTACAACTTCAGGACTCAGCTTGTGAAGTGCATCAAATATGTAACTCAACAATATTCACTCTGACTTGCTGTGAATTGTCAGTCTTCTCTCAGGATGTCGTGTTCACTGAGTAATTCCTAATCTCTCTCCTCCCGCTCTCATTAGCAGCTTGTGTTTTGTGTGATCTGCGTTGTTTCTCAGGCCCTGCGGGACAAGCGCAACACTCATTCTACCAGTGTTATGTTACACTGTGGCTGTTTTCTACCTGTTAACAAACTCCTCGATGAGTATGCGGTGAGAATAGCCCTGCCGGCGGATGTTGACGGTCTCTAGGATGCCGGTGTAACGCAGCTGAACCATCACGCGCTCCTTATTGAAGAGCAGAGCCTGCCGGTCATCATTTGGTTTAATACAGCGGACGAAATGAGGCGTTCCCACCACCATCTTAGACAGCAGGTCCATGAGAGAGTACTGAAATAGACACACACACACACACACACACA